CTGTATGACTTTATATATCTACTCAGCATACGGTTTGTATGGCTCTGAGTAATATATAAGCATACCAAGGGGCTTGATACGGTTCTTCAGAGCAAATGCTTTGGCAGTCAACAGGATTAATGACTCTCCTGATAGCTCAGCTTGTTCACGATATTGAGCAAGAGTCTACTGCTGTATAGATTGTGCCCTGTTACTTACAGTTTGCCGCTGGTCAGTACATGTCCGTGGTTTATTATATCAGATACATCGAGAAAGACGCCGGGCGACGACGACGATACAATGGCGCCCAGAATATCGAATCTACAGCTATCGACGATCGCGATGATACTGCCATTCGAAGACCAAAAGACCCACGAGCTGGCAAGTATCGTTGGCTGTACCGAACGAACGATTCGACGACATAGATCACGACGTAATATCACTGGCGAAGTGCAGAGATATAAGAGGTGCCGCCAGAGTCGACAAAAGATGGAAATATGGCATCGTACAGAGCTTCTTGAACTACTGCAGTACCGCAGCGATCTATCTCTTGAAGAGATGCAAGATTTCCTATTTGAAGCCTTCGAGATCCAGATCAGTCGTTCTGCAATCAGTCGACAGTTAAACTCAGCTGGCTGGACGAACAAGAAGTCCAAGATTATTGCTGCTCAGCGAAGTGACGAACTACGATACGAGTACTTGTACCGTATACGACGATATCGCCCCGACCAGCTGGTATTCGTCGACGAATCCGGCGTCAATAAGGATACTGGGATACGGAGGACTGGATGGGCGCCGAAAGGGCTTGCTGCGTTTCGAACTGCAGAGATTGATCGGTTTCAGAACTCTCGCGTACAGATCCTGCCAGCCCTCACGTTGAGCGGTATCCTACACTTGACTACGTATTATGGTACGACTGACGGCGATGGGTTCTTTCGTTGGCTACAGGAGTGCCTTATCCCGAAATGTGGGCGTTTTCCAGAGCCAAACTCTGTCATCGTTATGGATAACCTCTCCTGCCATCGTATACCTGAAATCGAGGGTTTATGCCGGGTATCAGGTGTCCATCTCGAGTTTCTGCCTCCGTATTCACCAGACTTCAACCCCATCGAAGAGTACTTCGGCGATCTAAAGCGATACATCAGGAAGACGTATTCGAAGTGGAACAACGATGAGAATGACACTCGGGATTTCATGGAATATCTACGTGACTGCGCTATGGAGATTGGGTATCGTCTACCCCAGATCGAGGGCCATTTCCGCCATTCGTTCGTCAACTTTGATGGGACAGAGCATATATTTGACGATATCGAACTATAAAAGGGAGGATTTGCTGCCAATATTGAACATCAGCAAGCAATCCAAATTTTCATCGTGCGTTCGCGCGCAATAGATCTTAATCGTGTCGTCATATGATGGTCAATCATCAAATCCATGATTGTAGCCAACAAGATTGCCAAAAGGTTAGCCACAAGCGCACCAGAACACAAAAAATATACCGTCGTCCATTGTTTTCGTCGGTAGCTACGTATACATATCAATTTTGCCTGTATAACGGCTGAAACGCGTTGTTGATGCTTGTGACGATGATTTGTGATGATGACACGTCATCACGATCAGAGACTTCAACCATAGTCAGAGACTTCAACTGCCCCTAACCAGTATCGGGATGGACCGAAGTGTATTGTTTGCAGATCCAAAATAACAGTAATTCTATTGCTTTTATACGTATAGAGCGGCAGTGTTGAATCTACGGCTATGGGTAGACTTTTCCGTGGTTGAACACGTCATGCAAAAAAATCGCGCATACAGTCAAACTTCACACCACTCTTGCTGTATCACTCTTCTTCGTTATCCTCCTCCGAGTAATACGTCTCTGTTGACGACGTATCACTCGAGATTTCAATCTGATTGTCCTCATCGCCTTGCTCGATTTCGTCTTGTTCGATCTGTAACTGCGTGGGCAGCATCTGCGACGCTGACAGCAGTGGTGACGAAACGAAACCAAAGAGTTCCGAAACGCCTACAAAGTTAGCCATATTCGACAGTAAACAGCTCTATATACACTCACCACGTCGACCAACTTCAACTGGCGTACCACGGATCTCTTGCTCGATGGATTGACGTGGCACTAGGGCGTCGATATGTCGGGATGACCCCAACTCGCCTGAAACTAGCGCCGCAGAGTTTTCAACTGGCGCCGCCGCCGTCCCTCCTGGCAATCCAGCGTATATTCTTGTATAAACATCTCCTTCTGACTCTCGATGGTTTGAATGAAGTTCAGAGTGAGATACCACGTCGGAGAGGGCGTCAGACTGCCCTCCGTAGTAGGCGCTGTTGTCTATGAAGGATTTGATCGAGTTCCTGACATCTTCGGTAAGATCTTGAGTAAAACCCTGTTCAGTAAACCAAATATCTGGTAACTTGCGAATTGCCCGCAAGCTACTGTCTACTGATCGCAGTTTCTGTAGCTTCTTTCTGAACCCTTCGTCGACGTTATATCGCTTGCCGCGGACGGATATAAACCACTTGATGAAGCTGGCCACTTGATCTAGAGCTTTTCGAGGCGAATCCGGTACCACTGGCGAGGACGAACGAATCGGGAGTGCGATACTTGGTTGACGAGTGCTTGGAAGGTTCAATGGCGGAAGAGTTGGCAACGAATACTGTGAGATGTTCGCATATGGCCAATATGCCGGCGGCGGCGGCGCCGGCGGCGGCAGCTGTACGTATGGGTTAGGATATTGAAGATGACGATCTGGCGCCCCCGCGTTGCCGTATATATTGACGATGGCGTTGCTGTTGGCGTTGGTTAGGCCAGATCTTGACCCTGATGATGGAAGTGCGGCATTTTCAGCCTTCTCTTCCGTCATCACTGTCGTCTCCTGGTTATCATCAACCTCCACGATATTCTTACTTCTCTTGCCCTGGCGTTTCTGATCCTCTATAAACTGGTCGTGAAGAATCTCACCAAGCAGTTCTTTAGGTGGTTCCATATTGTCAACGCCAGCCTGTCCAGTCATAATAGCCTTCGCCCACTTCTCTATATGGTGAGATTTGATCTTGTAGTGCTTCTGGCCTAGTATATAGCACCAGTTGAACTTCTCGTCGCCCGAACTATTCTTACATCTCTGGTACTCTGGGCAGATGTGCGTACGGAGAAGTTGTCTGTGCATACCCTCCTTCCGACGCTCGACGTTTGCAGGATCGTTAGCCTCACGATCGATCGCCTCTTGCATGCCGGCTGAAACGCCTGCTCGGCCACCTTTTCGAGGCGTTCGTACGCCAGTCACTATACCACCAGAGATTGGTACGGCGCTGTATTGCCACTTGACGGTGAGGTGGACTTCACCCCTCTCTTCAGCTTGTTCAAGAGAGGGGACAATATCAACCCATGGAATACTTGGCCAAGTGACCCCTCCAGTAGACGGATAGACCCGAGTGAAGATTGGTGTTGGTTTAGATGCGTTGGTGGGCTTCCTCCAAGCAACGACAACAGCGATATTGGCCTTCTTCACAATATACGAGTGAGCCACTTCTGCCTCAAGTTGGGCGCCGCTGTCTGCCTCCCAGTCTCTACTATTCGCATCTAATACAGGAGCAATACTGAATCTGTTATACGCGATGCTCTCGATGGTTAGATCGAGAACAGGTAAACCGTTACCCTTGAGCGCTGGGCCACGGGTAACCTGGATTTGTAGCAGAGTTGGTTCCTCGTTACCCATATCGTCCTCCTCTTCAAATACATCGTGGAACGACATAAACGTATCATCAGCGCTATGGCGAGGGGCCGTAGGCGTATCGTCCGCAAATCGAGTGGTTTGACGAGGGGTTGGGTTAACTGGGGTCGAGTCTGGTCGAAACGGTGGCATCGACGAAGGCAGAGTACTTCGGAGCCGGATCGTATGCGGCGGATCCTTCTTTCGCTTCCTCTGCGTTGTCGTTGCTTTTTGGCGAGAGGACGCTTTTGGAGCTCTTCGTGATGACGGAGGGGCTATAAGTACACGCTTTCTTCGCGATGTAGACTCAGCCGCCACCAAATCATTAGTCTCGGGTCCAGCCTCGGCGACGATAACCTCCTCGGCGGCCTCCTCGGCGGCCTCTTCGGCGGCGGCAGCCCGGCGAGCCCTCTCGGCGGGCGTAACGATCCTGATCGACGGCGAGGCAGAGCGTTGAGGAGGATCTCTGGCGGCGTCCTGTGCCAGTTGTTGTATACGTCGTTGTTTCCGCGTACCGTTGGCGATGGGTGACGGACGATGCCCAGAAGGGTCATCATCCGCCTGCCGAGCCGCGCGGCGGCGTTTAGGAGGCATCACGATGCCCTCAGATAATGAGATTCAATAGAAATAGATCAATTGAAGCCATCAGAATAGGTCAATTGCCGTACTACGAATATCTACGTGGCGTTGGGCAAATTTTCATGTATATACAGGGATTATGCGTGCGTAATTTCGGCAAAAAGGGGGGGCGGACGCTGTCAACGCAACGGAGTGTATGTGACTCGTTCGACCAATCCCCCCCACCCGATCGACAACAGGGATTAATACAGACAATTATGGAAGACCAGCAATGCTCTAAATGCTTTGTAAGAAGAACGGGATGATATGTTACAGGGAATAATATTTTTTGACCAAACGTTTTACCTGGCCTTCAAACTAATACCGATTCGCACCAGGCGCCGAAGACCCTCCCCTGCTCACACCCACCAAATGCAGAAACCGAGACACTTCAACTCAACTTACAGAGAGACAAACACACACCATCCAACACAGTAACACTAGCCCCGTAGGGCCCGCCACACGTGTCGCCCAGTCCAATGTTCCCGCCGTCGAATATGTTGAAGGACCTTGGTAAGCAAGTCTGAAGAGGGCGTGAGTCGGGATTCGAGAGTTTCGAAGAGTGGGGGGTCTTGGGCTGCCTTGCCAACCCCGCAGGCGTATGTAGGTTCAGGTCTCGGACCCCGGGGTTCGCGTGGGCAGCTACCTGTCAGGCAGACTGCCACTCTTGGCATGCTGGCGGCCTTAGTTGTTCGCAGGCCTTGGCGATCCCAACTGGGCAGGTTGAAGGGGCTGGCTTTGGGACTGCTGTTGTTGTTGAGGGCGCTGTCCGGCGTTGGCGTTGCCACCCCGATTGCCGTTGTTGCCGTTGCTGCCCAGAGTAGCAGGTTGTACACCATTGCTGTTGCCATTGTTGCGTCCAGCTCCAGAATTCTGGTTACCAGTGTTCTGATTCTGGCCACCGTTGTTGTTGCCCTGGTTTTGGCTCTGGTTCTGGTTGCGGTTGCCAGTACCCTGATTTTGGTTGCCATTATTACCCTGGTTCTGATTCTGGTTCTGGTTGGTATTGGTGTTGGTGTTGGTGTTCGCATTGCCGTTGTTGCCCTGGTTTTGGTTTTGGTTCTGGTTTCCACCGTTGTTGCCATTTCCAATACCCTTGCCAATATTGCCCTGACCATCGGTGCCCTGATTCTGGTTCTGGTTGCCGGTATTCGTGTTGGTGTTACCAGTGTTGGTGTTGCCGGTGTTGTCGTTTCCATTACCATTGCTCTGGTTCTGGGGCTGGTTGCCATTGTTGCCCTGGTTCTGGTTCTGGTTGGCGTTGCCGTTGTTGTTACCCTGGTTTTGGTTTTGGTTCTGGTTCTGGTTCTGGTTCTGGTTCGAGTTACCGTTGTTGTTGCCCTGGTTCTGGTTGTTGTTCGCGGGTGGCGCGGCCGGGGCGTTGGTAACTTGAGGAGCAGCAGGAGCAGCACCGCCGTTGTTACCGGCGTTGTTGCCACCGCCGGGGGGAACAGCGGGAGTCACGTTCGCGCCCTCAACCTCCAAGCATCCGGTAGGACGAACAGCCTGAATCTGCGGCATACCAGCGGCAGCGAAGTACATGTCGATGTTGGGGAGGACATTGACGCAGCGGTTGTTGTTGATGGAGTTAACATCCTTCTGCGCGGTGTCGGGACCGTTGGTAACCATGGACTGCAGGGTGTCGACGACTTGCTGGAAGGTGCCTTGGGTAGCGAGAACGTTGTTGGCTTGCGCGACCATATCCATGCCCGTGAGCGCAGCGTCGAGAACCATCTTGTGGTTGAGCTCGTCAATCTCCGCATTGAGCGCAATCGTAGCTTGCTTGGTGAACTCGGCGCCAGTGAAGGAGGTGGCACTGTTCAGGAACTTCGTGACCTTGCCGGTATCCTGCATCCAGGACATGACGGCGTTCATGACCTGAGCGTCCGAGACACCATTGCGACCGGCAGCGGTGTTGTTCGCACCTTGGCTGGCTCCAGCTTGTTGACGAGTCTCCAGGCGTCTGACGCCCCGAGCGAGATACCGTGAGTTCCTGTCCACCGCTCCGCCTTCCGCTGAGCTAGCAGTCGGCAAGGCGAAGACACAGGCAGACAGGAAAGAAGCGACGAAGAAGAAAATGACCGAATACTGCATTATGGCGGTGTTGTTGAAGTCGTGGATACTAAAGACTAGCTCGAGTGGACGAAGAAAGCAACACGCGCACTAAGAAAAGACGGTAAGATGCAAAGGCGAAATAATGGTAAGGTGAGTAATAGTGTGGGTGGCCGCCACTAAAGGAAAGTGATCGAGTGGTGGGCCTTCCAAAGGCGTCCGACCATTCGCTGACACAAAAGGAAAAGAAGAGAAGGTTGATTAGGTGAGATGGGGGAGAGATAACGCGACAGAGATCGGAAAGAGTTCACCGGCCCGGAAACGTGGGAGGACGAACAGGAAGGTGGAAGGACTTATATCAAATGCCCGCAAGCAGAAAGATGTGGTTGAAGATGGAACAATTGAGACTGTGCTTGGCGCGTTGGACGAAATATTGGTCTGAAGAGAGTCATGGGTGAGGGGTTCTTGAGAGAGATCAGGCGCATCTCCGCGCTTGGGGAGTCGTGATGGGTGCGTTCGAAGCAGACGAGATGTCGCGGCCAAGAACAATGTGTTGCAACGCCAAGGCGTGGGTGGCAGGGGAGCTGGTTTAAGCAAAGCAGACAAAGCAGAATTCTTTAGCTAATCATGGTTCTAAGAAAAGACGAGCAGAGCCTCACGGCCAATGGGATGGCTTGGGGGACTGAGGGTATCGAGCAAAGCATGGGGGTCAGTGTGGATGGAAGACCTGGGGCGACCTGGGGAGGATCATAGACGAAGCATTATGTGAGCACGACAAGGATGGGAGAGGTTGAGACCCAGATGGAGTCATCAGGGGGGTTCGTGGTTTGTCTGCCGCAAATGCCCAGTCGGAGATTTTGCCCGGGTGGGCGCAAGAGCCATTTGGCGATCATGAAGAAGAACGGCGCCAAGGCTCATTGGACAGAGAGGTCAGGCCAGACTGATCGAGTCAACACCACACCTCGCTGACTTGAGAAGAGGAAGAGAGGGAAAAACAAGATGGCTGTCATCTGTCTCGTAAAGTCTGTAAAGAACAGATGCTTCATGTTGCTCGACGAACTAGCACTATCCTGTCCTCCTCAGAACGGCACTTCCGGTGGCAAGGCGGACTTGGCCTCCCACTCGAAATCCGTTCTCGTCAACTCTGTTGGTGTGGTGGCCCCCATGGGATTGGACGTCGCCAAGTGAATGACGGAATACGAGGCAGCAGAAAAGAGGCAAGAGGGCTACGTGATGCCAAATTCTCCCAACCTTGCTGATGAACGACACCCTCGGGGACAGATCACCACCAGGTGTTACAACGCAAAATGTTGCACAGACGGCTCGTCGGCCTGTAACGGACTAGGCTGTTGCCCAGCGAAACCGAACAAGGCAAGACACATTTTTACTCATGCTATGAAGTTTCTGATGACGACACAAACAGGTCCCAAGAAATCCCAAGGAAAAAGAAAAGCAAGGGCCAGTTTCCAAAGAGTCGGAAGATGGGTGAAGGGTAAGGTGACGATGAAGGCCAGCAGGCGTTGGGCGGGAGGGGAGAGGAGGGCTATAGCAGGTCATTCTATGATTTGAGGTAAACGCAGAGAGCTGCAAGACACAGACGCAGAGCCGCCCGTGGACAAGCATTTGCCAAGCATTTCTCCCAGGTCGCACATCAGCCGCGACGAAACGAAAATCCTCTCCACTTTGACTTGGCAAAGAAGATCAAAACGGCGGACCGGGAGCCAAGGATCCGTCGTTTATTATGATGATCGCCCCCTCAACTATTGCGTCGTACTGAGGACTGCACATTGATGCGTAGGACGGTGGCCTTTTACATGAGCGAGTGCGGGAAAGAGAGAGAGACCACAGCCAGCTGCGTATGTAAGGCCCATTGCATAGTCACGTTTGCCTCCTCATCCCGCCCGGCCTCATCTGATGAAACCCCACGCGACCGGGCTCGAAACGACGAAACTCACCTCACACCGTCGCGCTTGGGTACGAAACCGAGGGACCCTGGTCTCGATCTTTCTTGTGACTGCACTTCGCCTCTCCATCTGCCTCATTCGGCTGCGTCCTTTCTTTCAGCCTGTGAACGAGGGCGCCTCTTGTCTTGACGTCTCCTGTCCTTCCTCCTCGGCAGCAGGATCAGTCAGGCCCGCCCCATCGCACCGTCGGAAGTGCCATGGTCCGATGATTAAGCCCGATGGATGCCCCCATACACCTTCTTCTCGGCCAGGAGGCATAGACATCAGCATCAACGATTGTGCGGCCGGAAGAGGCTGGGAGCGGCGTCTGCCGCAGTGGCACTGGCTCGATTCCCTCCAGCCAAGGCATGCGATTGGCGGATGCGACTCCTCTTCGGCTGGGCGCTCCTCTGGGCGTCCGACCGCCCGACTGTCTATGAGACTCTGCCGGCTGAGCCGCCATGTGGCATGTCACCGTAATGTCTTGTCTTCCTTGCCATATATCCAAGTCGGTAGCCGCATCCCTTCCCGAAGGCATTAAGCTTACTTGGCCCTCGTCTGAATGCTGATGATCCCTTGAGTTGGTCGTTCCGCTATACAAACATCTTCCCCCTAGGACCCGTGGGTTTAGTAACGGTGTCTCTCCTTCCCTTCCCTTGTCATCCTCCTCTTTTTCTTTTTTCCCTTTTTGTTTTGTTAACAGCCCCGGTGGTTGACCCTCGCTAATCATAATGACGCTCATGAAGTTTTCACTTTCTTTTCTGCTTGTTGGCTTGAGGCTTAGCTGTCCGGTCGTTGCTCAAGATCAACAGGCGCAATTCAATCAAGTCATTAACCTCAATGGGGATGTAAGTTATTAACCTTTGGGTGTGCATCATCAAGTCAGTCGTGGGTTGGGTCATGGTGTTGACGATGATTGATGATGATGGCCCCGCCTCATCATGGGGTAAGACTAACATGGCATCACTAGATGCGATTGAACAGACTTGTGTTCCCCGACAACTCCAAGATTGAGACATTCTCCCAGACGCAACGTCAAGTCATCGTCAACCAGAACCCCAACCCGCTCCCGGCCAGCCATGTCGTCGGCTCGACGGGACAGCCGTTCGTTCAGCTCTCGCGCAACTCCTTCACCATTCAAACGAATGGAGCCACCGACCTGGTGGGCGCTCAGATCGAGCTGCCCATTGACCAGAACATGCTGCAACAAGCTGGTGTGACCGCCGACAACACTTACGTCGCGATGCTTTCTCGAGACCGTCAGGCGTGGATCATTCAGGAGAGCATCAAGAGTGTCAACATCACCGATGCGACCGTCCGCATGGTCAAGATGAACACGATCGACGGCGAGTACGTCGCCGTTGGCCGTCAGACTTCCGAGCTCGGCACGTCCCTCACCCCGTTCGGCCAGCCCGTCACTATCGCTGGATCTGGCATCCAAGAAGCAGAGTTCACCGACGGGTTCCGCATGTCCATCCGGGCGAGCCAGCCGATGAGCATCAAGACCGATGTCGTCAACGGTATCAGCACCGACATGGTTACTAACGGCATCATGTCCATCAGTAAGTTACCCGCAGTAGACTTACACGTCAAGTCGCGGAAGCTAACGCGAACACCACAGACAACTATCGCTACCTCGTCACCAGCAACTTGGCTGGTGTCGTTCCTAGCCTCAACCAGATGACCGCCGTCGTCCAGATGCCGCGTAAGTCTAGCCCGAAAGAGCCAAAAAGCTTATTTCTCTTCATGGAATTCCGACTTACCGGGACCTGAAACAGTCAATGTTGACCGACTCATGGCTATGGCCATGCGCGCGGGCGCTTCGCCCCAGTCATCCATCACGCTTGGCATTGCCCAGCGTCCCGTTCTCCAGAACCCTGGCGGCGCTACCGGTGGACTTCAAGCTCCTCGCCAGAAGCGTCAGAACAATGAAGCCAACAACGGCACTGCTTCCAACGAGCCTAACGGACAGCCCCAAAACGGCGCCAGTCCCAATGGCGCTGGAACTGCTATTGGTGCTTCTCCCGCTGCTGGAAACCCTAACCAAGGCAACCAGGGAGGTAACAATGGAGGAAACACGAACCAGCCTCCCCAGGGCAATGGAAACAACCCGCCTCAGGGTAACAACGGAAACCCTAACGCGGCTGGCCCGGCCATCCCCGCTGCGACCCAGCTTCTGCTCGCTCAGACCTTTAGCCCCATCAACGCTCAGGTCCTCCTCGACCGAGAGAACGCTCGCATCGCCGTCCCCGTCGGCCAGATCGACGGTGAGTTCATCCTCACCATGATGGTCGGTGGAACTCCCGTTGGAACCCAGCCTCAGCCGGCTCCTCAACAAGGAGGTGGCATCACTGGTCAGCCTCAGCAGGGTGGTCTCGGTGGCCAACCCCAGCAGGGCGGCCTCGGTCAACCCCAGACATCCCAGCCGCAGACTCCTCGACCGGCCACCCCGGCTCAGCCTCAGCAGCCTGCCGCGGAGCCGCAACAGCAGCCTCAACCAGCGGCGCCCGCGGCCGAGCCTCGTCCTCAGCAGCCTGCGCCTGCTCCTCAACAGCCCGCTCCCCAGCAAGAACCCAGACCTGCGACGCCTCCTGCCCCCGCTGTGCCCGCCCCTGCTCCTGCTGTTCCGGCTGCCCAGCCCCCTGCCGCTGCTCCCGCCCCTGCCGCTCCCCCCGCCGCGCAGCCCAAGCCCAACGGCCCTCCCACCGGCGGCGCCATCACCGGCAACCAGCCCGGACCCGGCGGCGGTGCCATCACCGGCTCGCCTCCCCCTCAGCCCGGCCGTCCCGCTCGCAGACAAGAAGCTCCTCAAGTTCCCCCCACCGGCGCCATGGGTTTCGAGATGAAGATGGCGGACCTGATGGCGATGGCGGAGAACAAGAAGAACGGCGGCACCATGGCGACGTGGGAGATGATGACCAACTTCGTCGCGCAGCAGAAGTCGGCGGAGCAGCAGAAGGAGATGACGAAGAGGAGACGGTCGTTCCCGGTGAGACGACGCCTCGGTGGTGTGCATTTCTAAGAGGTAAACTTTTGGGTAGCATGGCGAATAATATTCGATGTGTATTCTTTTCATCATAGTACCCTCGGTCGGGCGCCTGCAGGGCAAGCTAAGACGGCCTTGAGGGGATTCAAAAATACTCAATAGAAAGCGTTCTTGGTGAACACCATCATTTTTCCTGCCTCTGAGTGAAATCGGAAGTGATATTATCGTATGATTCCTCTTCTGTGATACTTCAATTCTGACATCCACATGTAAGGAGATATTCTGGCCGCAATACGTCGACTCCGACTTGAATTAACCCGCGGGAAATATTCACAGCCATTGAAAACACGTCTCTCGGTTTCCAGCGACGGCTCTTCATTCCGTGGCATTAGACATCTTCAACCTGCCACTAGGCATCTTCCGAAGAAACAATAAGGGTCTTTCCACAAGCGCGTCGGCAAGTCAATTCCATCGCGTGGATCCTCGGCTGACAAGCCGACATGGCAATTGTGACGTCTGCAGGGTCAACATCGCCAAACACCCGGAAAGAGAGACCGAGCCGAGTCTCGGGCCGCCTTTGCCACTAGTCGAGACAGTAGTCGCCCTTCCAAATCATCGTCCGTACTACGGTCGGTCCCATCCGGTGGCTCGTAGTCTTGGCTTTTTTTCGCACCAGTGATCGGCGCAGAGTCAGAGAGCCGCACTTGCAGCCCCTGCAGGAGCGAGACCGAAACAGCGCAAACTATCGCCATGGCCAGGCCAGACGCTGGCCTCCTGACAGCTGGCACGGTTGCTAACTCCATGACGTTTCCGGATAAAGCAGGTGTGCGTGAAGAATCAGGAGAAAGTCTGCCGGACTTCATGGTTTACCCAATTAGGTAATTGGGAGGAGTGTTGTCAAGTGGGAGCCGCGGAAGGCAGTCGATCGTTGAGATGTGGTGCGATTTCCATTGCGCGATTCTCGGGAGATTGGATGCCAATGTTGAAATATCAGTCAATTACTGGCTTTGGCGGCACCAACTCGGTAGCCAATCGAACTTTCGATCCCCCGAAGAGAACGACGCCCTCGTGATGTCTGTGGGCTATTTGACTCCAACATGGCAAGAAAGACAGGTTGCAAAGGCTTTTGCGAATGACAGAATCAAAGCACGAGAGGGGGAAAAGTGTAAGCCCATGCACGTCTTGTTGACGTGAGCAGTCTGTGCCTTAGTGCAGTGTTTCTGCCAAGCTCGAGCACGCAATGAGTCTCACAGTAAAGTTCGTTCTTGAGAAGAGGCCGCAGCTGTTTCGAAAACTTTGCAGACAGCCCTGCATTTCGCTGGCGATGGTGGGTGGTGTCGTGAGATCGGTCAATGATGTCCGCCCGCCTCACGATAGCAATTGAGGTGGAAATGAAGGAGAGAACTGCTGAAAGGTGAAGAAGACACGCCGGCTTCGGCGACCGGCATTCTTCCACCAGAGCGATAACGTACCTTGCAGAAGTGTTCAATTGATACGAAAAGCTGCTGACCCCTGTCGCGATGACGTCCCGGCCAGCTGGGCTATCTCCAACTCTGACCAGTCTTATCAGTAGTGCCCCTCACTGCCTAGCAACCCCCAATGCACCGGCTGGTGATGGTGACATGAATAGTGGACATCGTGTTGGGGAATGTTACCGTTCCATTCGGAGTCGCCATTAGCGATATGTTGGATGAACTGAGGGGTGATGCACTTGATGAGGGATTGATCATCAGATTTCCCCGCTGGAGCTCTGCGAGAGGCTGGGGCCGGTCATTAAGAATGGCGAGCTTCCTCGGCAATGAGGCGCGCGGTGTTGCGCTGCTTCCGTAGAGCAATTGAAGCTGCTGGCGGACGTCGCGATACTCCAAAATGAAGAGTTTTGGTGGCTTCAATGTTTTCCCGCTGCTGGCGTTGGCCGGATTCGCGATCGGGGCGACCAATTCATCGTCTTCTGAAGGAGTGAGTAGCGATCGCCCATTTTCTGTAGCGCGCATTGTTGACAATGAAAAGAAATCAGTCCCTCTCGACCTCTCGGCATTGTTCAACAACAAAGCCTTCGGTACCAAGCCTGGCGAAGCGTCCTTCGATGCCCTGAACCAATCCTTCCCTGAGCCCTCCGTCGGGCCCGACTTCACCTCCACCGACACGGGCGTCGCGTACAGCTTCCCCGGATACACCGGGCCAACCGACCCGGACAACCTGATCTGCACCGGCCAGAAGATCACCGTCCCGACGGCTTCCTACTTCTCCGCCTCTTTCCTCGTCGCGGGAGATGTTGAGGGCGCCACCGTCAGCGGGAACGTGTCGTTCACCTACTCCGACAACACCACGTCCGAGTTTGAACTCCGTACGCTCAACTGGTTCAGCTTCCTGACCATCAACCGCGGCGAGATCATCTTCCCGAGCCGCTTCACCTCGAATGGCTCCGACTTCAACTCGTCGCACATCTTCGAGCGGACCACGGCTTTGCCGGCTGGGAAAACGCTGAGCTCTATCACGCTGCCGATAAAGAATAACGCGACCGAGGGAAGACTGCACGTCTTTGCCATCTCGCTGTGGCAGTCCTCCGATGTCAGCGTACAATCGGTGCGACCGACGCAGAAGTGGACCGGAAACGGGACACAGGTGGTCGAGGTCACCGTGAACAATGCCGGATCGAAGTGCGTAGCTGGCGCTGGCCTGAACGTCACTGTCTCTGGCGACGGATTCACCACCGTGAGCGCTGGACATCTCAAGCGTCTCTGCCCTGGCGACCAGAAGGTGGTCGTCGTCGGTGTGGAGGGCTCCTCAAGCGGGCCGACCACAGCCGTTGTCGAGATCGGCGATGGCACGTCGAAGAAGACCACCTCGGTTGAGGGTGTCGAGATCGGCTTGACGGAGTGGACCTCTGACCTCGAGAGCCTGTCCAGGCACGAGAGTCCCGACTGGTTCGACGAGGCCAAGTACGGTATCTTCATCCACTGGGGGCCGTACTCAGTCACTGGCTGGGGCAATTCGACTCCGTACGAGAGCTATGCCGAGTGGTTCTGGTGGTACTCGACGCATCATCCCGAAGGCGACCGGTCCAACTTCTATGGATACCGCCTCGACACGTACGGCCCGGACTGGGCCTACGACGACACGTTTCCCGAGTTCAACGCATCCAACTTCGATGCCAAGGAATGGGTCGACCTCTTTGCCGACGCGGGAGCCAAGTACTTTGTTATCACGACCAAGCACCACGACGGCTTCGCCATCTTCGACGCAGGCGAGACCTCCAACCGCTCCTCCATACACTACGGCCCGAAGCGTGACCTCTTGAAGGAGCTTTTCGATGCCGCAGAGACGTACCAGCCTTCCCTCAAGCGAGGCACATACTTCTCCCTCCCGGAGTGGTTCAACCCAGACTTCGGGCCGTATGGCTTCGTGCAGTTCCCGACTCCTTCAGCAGTCTCCTGGCCCGGCGTCCTCGCGTCGAACCCTTACACCGGGGAGAAAGAGCCGTACACCGGACACGTACCTGTCGGAGACTTCATCGCCGACCTGATGGTCCCACAGATGGAGACGCTCGCGTACGACTACGGCACCGACATCATGTGGTGCGACTGCGGCGCGGCCAACGGCACAGCAGGCTTCGCGGCGGAGTGGTGGAACAAGGCGCGCGCAGAAGGCCGCCAGGTCGCCATCAACTCGCGGTGCGGCATCGCCGAGGCAGCGGACTTTGACACGCCCGAGTACCAGACCTTCGCGTCCGCGCAGCGACGCAAGTGGGAGTCGAACCGGGGCATGGACCCCTACTCGTACGGATACAACCGCGCGACGAAGCCCGAGGAGTACATGAACGCGACCACGATCGTGTACTCGCTCGTCGACATGGTGTCGAAGAATGGCAACTTCCTGCTGGATATCGGGCCCAGGGCGGACGGCACCATCGTGCAGGCCGAGATGGACAACCTGCGTGAGGCAGGGAAGTGGGTCAAGGCCCACGAGGAGGCGATTTTCAACACGACGTACTGGTTCGTGCAGAGCGAAATTGTCGGAGGTCCGGACGTGAGGTTCACGCAGACGGAGGACGCGTTTTACACCATTTTCTTGGAGAAGCCCGTGGGCGTCGACGGGTGGGTCTCCATCAGCGCGCCGATCCCCATTGTCGAGGGCGACATTGTGAGTCTGCTTGGCGTCGAGGGCGGCGACAAATTGGAGTGGGAGACTTCGGGTGTTGGCGATGACAAGGTGTTGAAGGTGAAGGTTGATGAAGCGCTCATTGACGCGGACCAGTTTGGCTGGGTCTTCAAGGTGTTGTATGTGTAATTAGCGAACCTCAACCGCGTGCGCCCAATTGGGCGACATTGTTTCCCCCATGCTTCAAAGTGCGACATGCAAAAAGAACTTCCTCAGTGAGGGCAAAAGACTGCGCCGAGGGGGAATCGAACCCCCGGCTCCCCGACGCTGCTGGATGGCAACGGAGAATTTTACCACTAAACCATCGGCGCTGATGATTATTTTCTTGACTCGGAAGCCATGCTAAGTACCTTCACGACGAGCCCTGTTCCTAGTCTTGTCCACAACCGCGTTTCCCTATTCTCGTATGACCCTTTACGTCGAAGATTTCGTCTTTTTCATATTCGTTTATCTTAGTATAAGGCTTATACGCACGTAGCGGTCAGTTACTGTCCCCAGGAGCAGTCGCCTCGATCGATCCGGTACCACGTTTAAGCCTCGTGGTAGATAGTGTTAGCCATGTCGTGCCAAGTATGATGCTTTTAGACGTTGAAAGATCCATCTGACATCTTGCCGGTGTGAAATTGGTGGCATGAATGAGTTCATTCGTACTTTTCTAAAATCACGTCTATGCTTCTATGGGTATCTAGTATGTCTGTCTCTCCATCAGCTCCGGCTCGTCACTCTTGCCTCCTTTCTTCTCTTTCTTCTCTTCGCTAATGCGGCACAGGGTATCAAATCTGTGCAGCACCGCCTGGACCTCGAAGTTGCTGTTGCTAGCCAGATACTCGCCCTCTGCTTGGCGGGCGGCAGCAATGTTGCGGCGCGTCTTCGAATGAACGGCTGTTCGAATGCTCTTGTAAATGCCTTGTCCAGGATATGCCACGATTCCCAATGTTGCTGTATCACAATGTTAGTCTCACTTGCGAAACATTTGGCTGCCAGTTGACACATACCTGATGCTGTCTTGGTGGCCATATTCAGAACACCCTTGCCGACTCCCAAGGCTGCCCCAGCCGCGCCTCCGTCACGTCCTCCCTTGTACGGCTGCACAAACAGGTCGGCAAAACCCTCACTCAGACCGACAACGAAGTGCTTCCCTCCCTCAATGGTACCAGACTTCCAATCATTGATCGGTTTCCGCTGCTCGACCTTCTCTCCGTACAGCTTGGGCACGTTTCGCAAACCGTCTGTCACGGCAAGCGGCACGTCGAGATAGAACTTGCCATACGCCTTGAAAAAGCCACCAACACCCGACGCCGAGGCTTTCAAAACGGCGCCGGTGGTGCTTCCACTCGCACTGGTGCTACCACTGCTACTGCCGGGGCCCGCGCTTCGTGGACGTTCAAGCGCCTCAGATGACGGGGGAGCGAGACTGGCGGACGCGGATCGGGTCGGGGTCTGGCTGCCGCTGCTGATGGCGTCTTCCATCTCGGCAGACTTCATCTTCGATCGTTCGTGGTACGTTTGTACAGGCTTGACTACAATGTCCGTTGCGCCCTTGAACATTCCTGTCGCAGCTCCAAGAAGTGCTGAGCTGGCACCGGTGACTGGGTCCCATCGCCGGTTCTCAATGATGATGCTTCTCGTGTCGTGTCTATGCGAGTACGACTGTCAGCATTGTGTCGGTTGAGGTCAAACGTTGGGGAGCCTTACGGTGACATGTTCTTTTGGCCAATCTTGAGGTGGTCGAGGAGAATACCGGCCGCTTTTTTGGACAGCTTTACGTGTTTCTTGCCCCTTTTGTAATCCCACGTCGCAGGTTGATCCGGAAAGATGTCGCAAGGAAGGTCTTCGAGAGGCAAGTTGGCGTGGAAAGACTTCACCGCTGTTGCTACGCCATTTTCTGTCCTCATTTTCGCTGCGAGCTCACCCGCGGCTGCCAGCGCTTCTGGTGTGAGACAAAATCGGATGGCCTCAGAAAGATTCTCAACATTCAGTTGCTTATGTGGGATCGGTTTCGGTCCGGCGCCTGCGATGGCAACCATGTCTCCCCAAAAAGGTTGGCTGGAGTCCGTTAGCGACATTCTCCGAGTTGGACGGGATACCTACTCTCCAAAGAACGGCACGATTGTAGTTGGTCTACCGTTCAGAAGACCACAAGCCGTTGTTCCCGCACCGCCGTGGTGGAAGACTGCCGCTACGTTCGCAAAGAGCCACTCGTGTGGGCAGTCGCCCAGGAAAAACACGTCGTCGGCCTCGATGCCCCCGAGATTGCTCCACCCCTTGGATATGATGGCACGAACGCCCGTAGCACGCACCGCCTCGACGAGTGTCTTGGTCATCTCTTCGGGGTGGTCGATCACGATGCTTCCGAAGCCAATGTAGATCGGAGTCGGACCCTTTGCAAGGAATTCGGCCAAGTCGGGAGGAGGCGTGTACTGAGGTGGCTCGCGGAAGAAGAAACCACACACATCTGAGACCTTCTGTTAGCATTCTTTTTCATCCGTAACAAGCGTAGACGCACCAATGTAAGCAGGCCAGTCTTCTGGCTTGGGCACCAAAGCTGGAGACCAGCAATAGGTGAAGGGGATCTTCTGCACCTCCGCAAGAACTGGGCCTTCGGAGAATGGTACTTCTTCGAGATCTATCGTCTTCCGCCATTCGTTGATTACGTCTCCCAAACTGCCAAAAGTTGTCAGCAGGCGTCTTGGAGCGTCTCCGGCGTTGACTACTTACCCTTGCCACGTTAACCACTCGACGATGCTGTAGGACACAAAGTTGGCTGTGCTCTGGTCAACGACGCCCTTCTCTCCAAACTTCAGGTTCGCCAGCGGATGGGGGAAAGCTCTCGTGCTGCTCCATGGCATGGTGAACATCAAGTGCAATGGCACACTCAATGCTTGCGCGCAATGGACATGCGCAAAGCTAGGTGGGTTCGCGATGATAGCGTCCGCGACAAACGGCCTTCCTGTGAGCGTGTCCGGTTCGATACACGACTTCCAGCACCCCTCCAACATTTCCTTGACCATCTTGCGCTTCTTTTGGATGTCGCCGCCCTTCAGGCTCTTCAGGCTGGGGATCAAGCCGGGATTCTTGACCATGTAGGCCATCAACTCGGAGGGGTCGCCGCCGATGGGGTAGAACTCGAGGTTCGACTTTCGTACAAACGAATCGAAGACATCGTGGGTCGCTAAGCGCACGCGGTGGCCGTAGGTCTGGAGCTCATTGCCAAGCGCGATGAAGGGCTGGACGTCTCCACGACTGCCGACGACCTGGATGACGATGTTGAGCTTGACTGGGAAGTTCTTCTTGTCTGCGAAGCGCGCTGCTGCCTCGACGTATTCTGGGGGAGGGCCCTGGGCTGCTGTTGCCGCGGCGATGGAGGGGTCTTTGAAGTCGGGGACGAAACGAGCGAGGGTTGTCGCGAGGCGGGAGTCGAGGTTCACGTCGATTCTGCCATCAGCTGTTTTTCGTTAGATTGTTAGAGTCGGGGTATTGGTAGAAGATACTGACAGTTCACGCTGTTTCTCTGCTGCCTCATGCTCTCGGCCATCGCCGTTTCGTAGGAGGGAAGGTAGTCTTGAGGGACAGTGTCGTCCTCAAGCATCTGGACGGTATTTCTTTTCGACATACTGGCAAGTCTGGTTTGATTCTCGAAAGCTTTGGTAATAAAATAACGAGCAGTAGACGGCTAGTCGGTGTCCGGAAATATTCCTTTGGTCGCAAGTCTCTGGTCGTATAGTCGTTCGTGCTGGAAGGAGAGAATGCAAGACCGAGCAGAGGTGAGGCGAAGAGTAGAACAAGAACATCCACAACAGTCAGTGAAAAGGTTAATTCTAAAAGGCGAAAGTCGGCTGCTGGAGGGCCGAGAACTACCGCGAAGAAGGCGACTCGAAGATCTTAATTAATATTTAACATCCCACCTTGTTACATCATTCTAGAACGGGTTCCCCTCCATGGGCCCTCAGCCTCAAATTGACTCTAATGCCTACATACCGACGCGCCGCTGACTCGGCGTGGGATGAACCTCCGACGGAGAGCAGGACCCTCAGAAAGGCTGGACCACCGGCATTCCTAGGTGGTAAAGCCGCGCCATGGATGCCGCGCCGAGAGAAAAAGACCATGGTAAAATTCTTATCGACGTGTTATCGCACTTTTCTCGATGGCTCTTTACAGCGATCGCGCAAACATCCGCGGATTCGGCTGCCTTTACGTCTCAATGAGGTTTGACAGCCCCGATGCGCGTGTTGTTACGGTACGCTATCCAATGCGCAGCAACCCGTCAATGCTTAATTTTTAAGCAACTGGATCCATTTTTAGGGGTCCCTTTGGCAATGATTGGTCTCTAAAGCCACGGAGAAACGCGCGGGAGTCAGGGATGCTCGCTCCGGTGACGAATACGCGGATGGAGCACCTTATCATTCGCCCACCTCAACTCGGGCTTTTCACTTTGTACCGTTAAAGGCCGCCCCTGAAGCCATTTTTGGTGTAGCGTAAGGCGTCCCCGAGCAGCACACCCTTGTCCCCTACACTCCGTTGCGTTGACAGCGTCCGCCCCCAAGTTTGACCCGGAAGGAAAATTTTCCGCTAGCTTAGAAACCCCTTAAAACCCCCTAAACTTCACGTTTTAATAACTCTATGCGTACGTAATGCGCGTAAATAAAAAATATATCAATCGATAGCCCTCGATTAGGTGATTATAATGATATCTTTTTTATTCTCGCGCATTATATACGTATAGAGTTATCTAAGTGTGAAGTTTAGGGGGTTTTAAGGGGGTTTCTAGGTTAGCGGACACTTAACGTAACGCTAAAAAGAAAAAACGAAACCCCCGGCGCGTTACGTTGAACTGTCCGCTTAAAAAACCCCTTAAAATTAGCCTTAACTTCACACTTAGATAACTCTATGTGTACGTAATGCGCGAGAATAAAAAAGATATCATTATAATCACCTAATCGAGGGCTATCGATTGATATATTTTTTATTTACGCGCATTGCGTACGCATAGAGGTATTAGTAGACGAAGTTTAGGGCGATTTGGTGGTTTTTCGGTAAAAAGCCCCTTTTTTTGCCTTTTTCGGGCTAAAAACTGCGGGGTGGACGCTGTCAACGCAACGGAGTGTAAGAGGCACCTAGTCTTTTCATAC